AGTTGAAGTCCACACATCTTCTGGGAGTTGAAGTCCACACATCTTCTGGGAGTTGCAGTCCACACATCTTCTCCAAGGTTGAGAAACAGGGCACTAGAGAGAGTGTGGCAAAGCAGCTGATCTGGTGTGCAATGAAAGGCAATAAATTGTTAGGTAATTAATTTGTTACGTTTGGAGCAGAAGCCAACATCATGTAGCCTGGTACCATAGGGGGCAATCAAGGAAGCAAGAGCTGCTTAGACTCAAATAAGGCATTTTGTGGTACAGAATCTTGGAAAGTAAGGTAGGAATCTCCAGCCCTAATTTATTAGAACGTTCATTGTGGTGAAGTTTCTTTGGATGGTCTGAATCTCTTCATCCTGCAGTTTTTGCAGTCTGGACTCAGCTGCCACTTATGAGATGAGCTATTAACCACCTTCTTTCCCATCTGTTGGTCACTAATGCAGCCTTTCTCAACCATGGCAACTGTAAGATGTGTGAACTTCAACTCCCAGAATGCTGGGAACTCTAGGAGTTGAAGCCCACAAATCTTAAAGTTGCTAAGGTTGAGAAACACTGTGCAAATGTATCGAGCTCCTCCCATTTCTTTTCCAGCCCCCTTGAAATTTCTCACAGCCAGAAAAGATTAGTAACTTCCCATCTGGATTAGACAGCAAGCAGAACTCCATCCAAAGGTAGTATTGGCCTATGGCATTCTGGCTGGGGAATTCTGGGAGTTGAAGTCCACACATCTTAAAGTGGCTGAGATTGAGAAACACTGGTCTGAGGTCTTGGTTTGGATGATCTTCTAAGCAGGCGGAAAGGGGGGATAGTGGTTAGGGGGCTGGACTAGGGTGGAGAGAGATGGGTTGAAGCCCACTATTAGCCATGGAAGCTCAATGGATGAATTTAGGTAGGCACTATTGCCTAATCCAATCTATTGCACAAACATGTTGCTGTGAGGATAACATTGGAAAACAGAAGAGTTACAAATGCCTCTTTGAACTTTGAAAGCAAAGGTGGAGTACTGTTCTAGTGCTTGTTTAAGATGGTAACCATTGTTTAAGCTCATATGAGGGCTAAACCCCTTCTTCCTCCATGACTGTCTCTACTCCCCTGATAAATCATCATGCTGTCCCAAACCATCGATCAGAATTAGGGGCCACCACTAAGCCAAATATGCTGGGAAAAAATATTTTAGCAAAACAGATATTTAAAAGTAGGTGCTTTTACTGTGGAACAGCGTGCTTCAGAACTGGCGTGCTCCCTTTGATGGAGGCATTTTAGCAGTTCTTCGACCATTTGTCCAAGATTGCGTATTGCATTGTGTTTCCCATGTATCTGTTGTGGGGACAGGCTTGACGACCTCAAAGTTCCCTTTTGTGTTTCTAAGCGTATCCCAAAAGTTTTTAAATTCCACTTTACAGCAGCAAAGTCTGCTGCTGTTTCTCATTAAGGCATATCACAAATGCAGCTTCAAAAACACTCTTGGGAATTCATCTAGGGTGAAATGCATAACTTCTTAGGTCCATGACTAGAACATGGCTGCGTTAATAACCATGTTTGGACTTGGAAAATGCTGGCTTTGAAAGCAAGCACCTTGAGAATGGAAGGTTTAAAACCAGGTCCAATTATCTGGTGCCAATCAAAGTATTTTTTTTTTTTAGACGTCTTTAACCTGCATGTATCATCCCTGGAAAAAAATATTCCATGTTGATTTATGCATGAGCAAAAAACCCAACAGCTAATCCCAAATTTTTATTTTACCACTTCATCCTTAGCTGTTGCTGTAGTTTAACACTGGCATTTTCTGCTCTCAGTTGCCCCCAAGGATGATAGATTACCCTTGAGCAAAGCTATTCCCATTCTTTATTCAAGAGTCAAGGGGTAAATAAATATACTTGCCAAGAACATTGGTTTTATTGCGCCAGAGGAATATATGGCTTAAACCCCCATCAATTTCTTTTGGCTCCCCCATCTGTCTTTGGATTCTCTTCTGCTAAATTAACAGCCATGTTATTTGCACAGAGTTGAGTTATAATTCCATCTTTCTAGGGGTATCTGCAGGGAAGGGAGGGGCCAAAAATCAAGATAGACTGACTGTGCAACTAAAGCCCCAACCTTTTTTTAACATGCTTTGTAATGTACATAAAAAGGGGTGGGGCTTCAATCAAATGGTCACCACTACCATCTTGACTTTTTTGACCCTCTCTCCCCCTGCCAACAACCCTACACCTTTTCCTTGGCACACAGATCCAAGGCAACAGTTTTAACAAGACCCAATTTAGAAACTAGAGATTGGGAACTTGTAATATAATTTGCATGGTTTGGGTTTAATCCCTTGGGTGGGTCCATCCAAAGCCATGGCTTGACAGACCTAGCTAACATTCAACAGATTGTGATTAAGGAAGCCATGGCTTAGTGCAAGGGGTGAATCAGGTCGTTGTATGATCTCTGTGGTTTTGGCCTAGCACATCACTTGAAATACATTACAGCCTCTGAATAGCACTGCATACTGTATCAGGCTGGCTAACTTGGAATCCAGTGAGTGGCTATGATCACGTGAGTTGGGAGAAGGGCTGATAAAGAGAGGGTCCTGAGCTGAAGAGACTTCTTACTAATTTGAGGAGCTCCTGAATTGTCTGTAACCAAAAAGGCAAGAACCTGCTTAGCCATAGAATGGAAATAAAATCTTCTTTGCTAGACGTCTTGGATGTGGCCATGCACTTTTCTGGGAAGCAATAAGGACATGGTCTGGCCTTGGTTTCTTCCAATATGTGGTGTTTTTTCTACCTTCCAGATGACTCAACACAACTGGATCTCCTTGGTGGTCTCCCATTCAAGAACCAATCCGGTCAAACTCTGCTTAGTAGAGGTATCCACAGGGTGTGGTCAAAAACACCAAGGTGGTGGCCATGATGATGCCGTTGAAGCTCCACCTGGTTGTTATGCACTGCACATAAAAAACAGAGTTTCAATTGCACCATCATGGCCAACATCTTGATGTTTATGACCATGCTGTGCTGAGCTTCTTCAGTATTACTCAAGGTTGTCTAGGTATTGCCACCTAACCAGGTGAGTAGATGCACTGCAAAATAAATACCCAAGTGGAGTCACTGGTAGGGGTTTCAGAAAGAAACGGCAGCTTCCTAGGCGAAAAACTGGACTTCTGTTTCCTCTATATCTTAATTTCCAGCAGAAATAACTTAAGATCCTTAGACCTTTGTGGATTATAACTGAAGCTATCAACCAGTTAAAAATAATTCCTCCCCCACACTTGTTAAAATGTCCATGATAGATTTATACCAGTGGATAGAATTAAAATGAAAAAGCTATAAGAAGTTTTAACACCAAAATCTTAAAAGTGAACACTCTGCCTAAGGTTTTAATTAAAGAATCTGGAGCAGGGGTGGGAAACGGGGCAGGCATTGGACCTTGTAAAATTACAATTCCCAGTATCCTCTCCATCGTCCCTGGGTTCGCTGGGAGTTATGATTCATCAACATCTGCCGAGCCACATATTCTCCAGCCCTGATTTGGAGAACAGCTTCCATTGCTAAGAATTATAGGAGCTAAACCTCAATGCATCTTAAAAATGCTAAGTTGGACCACAATAAAAGGCTGCAACCCAACTGTTTGGAGCTGGACACAACAAAGCATCTGATGCAAGAATTCTGTATTTACAAGAAGCCATATCTTCTTTTCAGATGTGGGCTGCATGTCTCTGTATCTGTAATGGTATGTGGGAAAGACCTTGGGAGACGGGGTCAAAGAGCCACTGTCTAGCGAACAGTCAGATAAGAGGCAGCATAGCCCACAACTGCATAGTGGGAAGAGCAAGAGGCTCAGAAGGGACCCTCCCTAAGTTCTTGGGCTGTAAAGGAGATGGGGGGAATTGTATTTTCAGATTTGCAAGACTGATGTCAGCCTTACTAGGTAAACCAGACAGGAAACACGATCAGACAAGGTAATTCTATGTTATTGTAAGGCTACATGAACAAAATCTTGCAAGTCTGATCCTTCCCCCATCTCCTTTACCTCCTGAGAAATTAGGGAGGGTCTCTTTTGAGTCACTTACCCCATCCATTATACAGCTGCTGGCTATGCCACCTCTTATCTGACTGTTCCCTAGGCAGCATGTCCTTGCCCAATCTCCCAAAGCCTTTCCCACATACTGTCACAGTATCTCTGTATTAGCTGAAGTTGCCAGGCAGCTTCTAGGGTGGCCCCACGTCATCCATAATGCAGTAGCCCGACTCCAGTGATAAACTGCAGCCCCAAACTAGTTCAGCCTGTTTATTGGGTGTATATCCTACCATTCAACTGCAGAAACTCCTTTACTTTTATTTTACAGGAGATGGGCATATGTAA